TGGTATGAATGTTAATACAAGTGTGCTAATAAAAAATGTGCAACTAGGGAATTTGGGTATTTTATATTTATTGACATTTTTTCCATAATATTATGTGATTTTTGCTCTGGAGTTATGGACAAGAAATAATTAACCATAGGCTATAACATAAATGAATAGAAAGTGCTTTGTTTTCTCTGTGATTATTTATTTATTTATTTATTTATTTATTTATTTATTTATTTATTTATTTTACAGAGATGGAGTCTACTCTGTCACCTAGGCTGGAGTGCAGTGGCATGCTCACAGCTCATTACAGTCTTGAATCCTGGTCATGTGATCCTCCTATCTCAGCCTCCCAAGGAGTTAGGACTCTGGGGTGCTCCACCACCTGGTTGTGAGGGTATTTTTGTGGGGTTACTTGAGTTGTGCTTTTGTAGCACAGATTGGAGATGTGCAATAAATCGTGACCATGCTGTCTCTTCTTGAAAAGAAGTATCCATAAATACTTTAAATAGGTTAAAATAAGCCTAATAAACTGCAACAGACACCATTAATCATTTAGTATGCCCACTAAAAATTAGACTACCAATTTTTCTCACTGGACTCCTTTTCCTAAATTCACAAAACCATTTAATGCATGAGAAATTCATAGCTAAATACCAGAGCTGAGTCCATGATTTGTACTTTTATTTCTGCAACCTATTGAATATTTACATTAAAAATTTCTGAATACAGTTTGTAAGCTAACGCGGAGTGATTACTTCAGATATTTTGAAAAGTAATTTCATGCTCATTTTTTTCTAGTGGTTTTATATGCTTTAGTTTCTTAACACTAAAACGATTTATTCTCTGACTCACAATTCTACTCTGATTCATACTACTTTAATATTTCATTCAAAGATGATTAGATTAACAAAAAAACAAAAAAACTTATTCTGAATACAAATGAGTAAAATAGATAGATGTTACTGTTATCATCCTATCAATTTTAGTTCAACCTGCTAAAATGACTCAACTATTTTAAGATTATGAAACCAAAACGTGATAAAAGCATTAAACAATTTATTTCTCAAAGTAATTTTTTTCCAGTTCTATAGTCAAGTTAACGTTGAGTTGTTATTAGGTTTCCCTGTGTGTTCATGGTTATTTGATATTCTATGGTCTCTGTTCACAAGTACCTTAAAGTATATTTTAAAAGATAATGGGAGGCATCTATATAAAACATTAGGCAATATTAGTTCAATACATAACCAAGTGCCTAATTGTATATTATAGACTATATTTGTTCACTAAGAGAGGACTATTAGTGCTAGTGAGGGGCAATCAGGGAATGTTTTATAAAATATGAAGGATATTGTAGCTTGAAAGAAGACTGGAATTGGTTGAAGAAAGACTGAAATTGGTTCAGAGAAGTCAAGGAAAATACAAATAACAGACTCAGAATTTGTGCTGGAAGAGTAAGAAAACTAAACTCAAGGCTGGGTGTGGGTGGCTCACGCCTGTAATCCCAGCACTTTGGGAGGGCCAAGGCAGGTGGATTACAAGGTCAGGAGTTCAAGACTAGCCTGGCCAACATGGTGAAACTTGTCTCTACTAAAAGTACCAAAATTAGCTGGGTGTGGTGGCGCGTGCCTGTAATCCCACCTACTCTACTTGGGAGGCTGAGGCAGGAGAATCGCTTGAAGCTGGGAAGCGGAGGATGCAGTGAGCTGAGATCGCGCCACTGCACTCCAGCCTGGTGACAGAGCGAGACTCCGTCTCAAAACAAGAGAAAACTAAACTCAATAGGATGGTCATAAAGGCAAAACTTTGGGAAAATTAAGTGCAAAAACCTGAATGGTTCATTGAAGAGTTCAAACTTGCTCAGAAGAGCCAAAGAGTTGATTACAGACACGAATGCAGGGACATCGGGTAGCAAGACTGCATGGTATATATTCTCTAAATGAAAAAATAAACAAGAAGCATAGGCATCAAATACTGTTCACTGGAAAAGTTAATTTAGGAGAACCAGCAAGAAAATATAGAAAGATTATACTGGCAAATCCAAGATATGTTTGTGTTGCTGTTAGCAATACAGAAGATATTGTTGCTAGTAATACTAATCTCATTAATGATATTTTTTTCTCCAAATTTCTACCTTTTACTTAATCTTCCACAGTAGGTCTAAGTGGTTGCCCCACCTCTCCTAACTCCACCCCCACCACAGGTGCACAATCTCACAGGAAGCCCTGGTGGGTTGGAGTGGGCTCGCAGTACTGTTAGGGCTGACACCTTGCATCTCTTCCCAGCTGCATGTAAGTGGCTATAACGGGATTATTTACAACATGAAAACTGGAAAATGCTACAAATCAAGAGTTTTGGCAGAGTAAAGGGAAACAGTTTTGAAAACATTGATTAACACACCACTGTGCACAACTATGTATTTTACCATATTCTTTTCAATTTTTTCTTAGTTACAATTTTGGTTCTCAGCTTCTTAGTTTTTACGAACCAATAAGAAAAATGGTTATAGAATATTTATACTGCTTAAGGCTAGTAGACTAGAAAACATGAACATGAAAGCTCATAATCTATTCTTGTTAGTGGAATGTAATGTCCACAGACTATGAAATCTGATGGAGTTACTCTCATAAAAATGTTTTCTAAATGCCTAGTTTTTCCAATATTCCCTGACGGATACACTATGGGAAGAAAAAAAATCAAGATTGACTTCCATGATAAATCTCTGGTGCTAGAACGGATATCCTGCAAGAAGCAATCATCAAATACCAGGTAACAAGACATCTTTAACAAGAATTCCTGTTTCAGGTAAATTTACACAGTGGGCAAATCATCCAGATTTTAGGACTTGGGATAAGAGCAACAATCTTCAGACAAATCTCTGCAAATCACTCTTCATAAATTGCTTTCACAATAACTTTAATAAATCTGAGATGCTGATATATCCAGCTAGGAGATCACTGAATCCTTTTGTAAACATATGATGACACTGTGACTGACAGCAGGGTATCATTAAAGAAACAACTGCTTGAATAAAGGAAGAAACTTGAGCTCCCAGATTTGCCAGGAAACTTACTTCCATATAGATTGGGGGTGACAGCAACAAAGTTATTGCCCATTTTTTTCTGTGCCACTTCAGAAGTAATAGCATCTACAGATGATAGGCATGTCATTCATTCATTTACTCAACATAAAAATTAAGTTCTTATTATGTGGCAGGGAATGCACCTGTCACTATCTGTCGCCTATTGAAATTATAGTCTATTAGTGAAAAAGACAATTAGCAGTTACAAATCAGTTCAAGGTAAAGGTGTTTCAGACAAGAGAGAGAATGTCCTTTGAGGGAATTGAAAGAAATTCAGTAGGGCAGGAGATGTTGTTAGGGGCAAAATTAATTACCAAACTGCATGTAATTCAAAAAAGGAAATTGGTATGTTTTCTTAAGAAAAATAGGAAAGTATAAAATGTTTTCTTTATTTAATATGACATATAGGAGTAAAGAAATGACATTTTATTTTAGAAGGAACTAGAATGTAAAAGGAACAATATGTGTATATTTCAACAATAGGCTTAGGCTTCATATTTTAGTAAATTAATATATTTGGAAAAATGCAGATCCCTGATGGGAACTAAATAAGTCCTCTAGACTGGCAATAATATGTGTAAACTCATAAGAATTAGCTTACCAGGAACAGAAAATTAGAAATTTGTCAAGGCAAGAGCAAACTGCCCTTCTGCCAAAGATTGCATCATTGCAGATGGTTATGTAAGGTGGTGTTTTAACATGGGAATTCATCCCACTTTTTGCTTCATTGTCTGCCTCTTAACAGAAACAAATATCTGGAAAGTTTTCCTGCCCTACTTTTTCATACTAAGTCGGTGAGTGTCCCTACACTTTTCTGCACGCCCATGACACAAAGAGAGGAAGAAACTTAAAGCCACATTGAAGATGTGCAGCACTTACCTATAGTGTTCCAGGCTCAGAGCCCAAGGTGGAGCTGTTTGAAAAACGATTACCCTTCTATTTATCTGAGGAGTCCACTGGAGGATATTTGTTTAAAAGAATGCCCTACTTAAAATCTCTGCCTGCCATTTTTAATTTCTGTTGATGGTGTGGTATCTCATAGATATTAAGCTACTGTGTTAGCCAAAAAATTAAAGAGAAGCTGTTTCTTTAAAAGACAACATATTATCTTAGCTCTTTATGTTGTATTCCTTTTGTATTTTCTACTACATGAGAGACTGTATTTCTCAGCTGCTTAAAACTCTCCAAGTTATCTTTATTTTTTTTCTCAATATATTCAAAGATGTACTTAACTGAGATCTTTAAAGAGTTCCACCCACCGTGTGTATCTTACAGAAGGTGTTGGATAAGCAATGAAGACATGAGACATAATGACAGTGGTGATGATGATTCTGGTAGTCAAATTTTCAAAGTGCAAAAAATGTGGATTAATCCCATATCAGTATTAAAATCACCATAGTCACTATTTTTTTCCCTTGACATGCACATTACAAAATAGTTTATTATTCTCGCTTGCCAACTGCATTCTATAGCAGAAAGCACTATAAAATTGTGAAGAGCTCATACTTTCAATTAGGTAAACCTGAGTCAGATTACTGGCAGTTTTAGTAACTACTTATGTTACTCAGACAAGTTCCTTAATTTCTCCAGTCCTTAGCGGCCTCTTCCATAAAACAAGAAAAGGAACAACTATAGTTAAAGGCGCTGAATGAGACAACATACATAAACTGCTTAGCATATTGTAGGTACTTAATGCATTTTCTTCCCTCTAAATTTGGAGGAAAAAATGTGGACTTACTACAAATTTATTTTACATGCTCTTTTCAGATATAAAGGACTAAAGAATATGTTTTCAGTAGAAATATATTCTTTAACATTCATTCATTATAAAAGTTTAATTTCCCTTAATATTTATATTTATCACTAATTAAATATATTCTGTTATAAGAATAATTAATTATACTATTTATTTTGTTGGTATATATTATTATACCTTGTAATCTTTCCATTCTTTTTGTTGTTCCTTTTTCAAATATTCATTTTTGACATCCTCCTACAAAGGAATACAAGATTAGATTGAATAAATGAGCCCTTTTTCCAATTATTTAGTATTCTATACCATGGATTCTTCCACTAAATTTATAATTAAAGCAAACCTTGACATGTTTAATTGTGGGCAGCTGGAAAATAACAGCAGAGGCATTGAATAGGCACATAGTAAAAAGAAATAGGATAACTTATTGGAACAACCCAAAAATGTGAAGAATAAAGTGAAACTTTCAGAAAAACAATATAAAAAAATAGCTGTATTGGTACTTATATGACAAATTATCATATATAAAGAATTTAGCTATGTTTATATAAAGCAAGACACACCCATACCCTCCCCACTCTAAGTACATACAAGTTTTCCCAGGTATTCTTGCATCTTAATAACACTACCATTTTATAAAATGGAAACAAGTAAAAAACAGAGAAGTGAGATTTTTTAAGATTTGTTCCCCATTTTAAAATTAAAGATTTGACCAACATGGTCTCTATATTGCTATGTGACACTAAGATCATTATTCCATTTCTTCTGTGTATATCATCCTTTTTGTTTTGCTGTTTTAAAATTCAAATTGCAAACATGAGTGAATATAAATCTACACATAAGTTGAATAAATGTTTATATACTATACATACAAAATTTCAAACCCACAACTTTCTTACCAATAATCTAACACAGAGCTTTAGTTCTCAAATGAAAAAGGGCATTTTTACATTTTAGAAGGATGTGATTATGCTTCTACTACATTTTACATATTTTAGAAGGACTCAATTAAATATATAAATGTAAAAACAGATTTCTTAAGCAGAAAAAGGAGTACACTACTTAACATTCCAACTATTCATATAAAAACCTGCAATAGTACCTTATGGCCTATTGATGATCAAAATAAGTCAAATGATAGTGAATCTGATTTCATACACTGTCACATATAATACAAATATAAAAGGCATACAATGTACAACAGCTTATTTCTCTTCTTGAATATGGTCTGTCACTTAACATGGTAAGTTTTCAGCTCAACATGACAATAACTTGTCACAGTTAATTTTTTAAAAATCAAACAAATTAATAGAGGGTAAGCAACACGGACTATTCATTTCAACAAAATATGAATGAATTCAAACAACACTATGCATAATTTAAATATTAGCTAATTCTACAGACACATAAGTATCTGCCTGTGTTCACAACTTACATGTTTTTTAGTGTTTGAAAACCAGTTTACAGTAATTCCTGTATGATAAATACTGAATGAAATCACTTTTGTTTTTTCTCAGAGACTCATCATAGGTTGGCATTTTCTTTTAAAATTATGTCTGTAATAATTCTCAATGTGAAGGAAACTTTAGGATTAATTATAGTGGAAATAGCTTTTTTGACATTATTATTCCTCAAACAAGGACAATTTACTGGATAGCTTCACATTGTAGAATAACTAATGACCCCATCTCTTTTTGGCACTCCAAATTAAACATCTTTCAATGAAAACAAAAAACAGATGTTCAACATTAGCAGATGTCCAGGGTGACACACTAAACATATGCAGGGAGTGGAAATCCTAGCTCCACTCACATGTGTGAGAAATGCTGACCAGTGCATGGAGGATTTCCAAGCACCATCACTTGGTTTTGTAAGAATAGAATTTCATTCATGTATTAGATAATGAGATCCTCCCACATTCCAATGTCTTTCATGTGCCAAATCTATTTTTTTCAACAAAGTGTAATGATCTACTAGAAATTTTAGACCACAGTTTTCTTATTTTTGTATTATGTCTACATAAAAGAACAAAATAAGCAAAGAACTATAATATACAAAAATAATTTTTCTGCACTATCAAAATAAATTCTTAAATTTATCTATTTTCCTTAAATTCCAAGTGGCTTCCACCATTATTCACTTTGAGCCTACTCAAATGCCATCTTCTCAGTGTAGACTTCCCTTGTTCAATTCAGGCAGAATCTCTGAATTGAACTATCTATTTTTCTCCCCACTGGAAGCTTTGTGAAGGCAAGGAGTCATCTGATTTATGATTCTATTTCCAGTGCCTAGAATAGAGGAGGTGGTAGATACTCAACAAATTACTTGTTGATTATTTGGAAGAAGATATAAACGGTCATTATTGCCTCCTCCCTTTTTCTATTACTTTATTTTGGGAGTTTATGGGAGGTCATTCCTCACCAATCAGTGCCACAGTACTTTAAATAATGTCTCTAAGGTTTTTCCATGTTCTTACATGTAACAGTTTGTTATTTTTTACAAATGAGTAGTATTCCAGTATCCTCATGAACTTCACTTTGTTGATTCATTTTTCTGTTGAGGAATATTTCTGTTTTTCAATTGTTCTATTATTAAGACTTAGACTGCTATGAACATTCTTGTAAAAATCTTTTGTGTTTCTTTTTGACACTTCCGTTAAATACTTAGGAATGGAGATGCTGAGCCATAGGGTAGATGTAGGTCTAACTTTAAAGGAAATAGTCAAAGATTTCTCCAAACTTGTGTAATTTTACACTAACATCAGCAATGTAGAGTAGTTCCAATTGCTCATCACCTCACCCTGTCACATGCCAACTTATGACACCAAAGTTATAATTGCCTATGTTTAGTTCTGGAATCTTTATGGGTCTGCACTTTATGTGCAATGTGTTTGATCTGTCTTGAATTACTATTATATTATTCTTTTTTTCTTAAAGTGAAGCTAATGATTATTGTTCATTTTTCCCATGCAAAAATATTTATTTGTATCTTACCTCTATCATATTTAAATTTTAGCCATATTGGAAAATATAAAATAATATCTACCTGTGGTTTTAAATCAAATTTCCCTAATAATTAATGTTGTTGAACACTACTTTATGTGTTTACTGGACATTTTCATATCTTCTTCTGCAAAGTGTCAGTCAGGTGTTTTGCCCATTTTATAACTGGGTATTTTTCTTACTACTGTTGGTGCATAATAGTACTTTACACATTCTGCATACACATCCTTATTCATATTTATGTACTGTGAATATTTTCTAAGACCTTTCTGCTGATTATATTAATCCTGTCTTCTCATGAGTAGATATTGATGAAGCCCACATTATAACTTAAGAAAATTTTATATCAGTGGCTTTTTTTTGCCCTGCCAAAGGCATATTTCCCCACACCAAATTCATAAATATATTCTCCTGTGTTTTATTCTAGAATCTTTAAGTTTCTGGGATTTATGCTTGTTTGATAAGTCTTGAATTTTTCTTCCTTTTTATAAAGATAGAGGTTTAAGTCCATTTATTTTCCATAGAAATGTTTTGTTATAAAGATTATCTTTTTCTCTTTGAATTGACTGGAGTTTTGTAAAAAATCTATTAAGAACACAAGTGAGTCTAGTGTCGTACTATATTTGTTCCATTATTTTACTTGTCTCTATGTATGTCAATATGAAATTTTGTTGATCATTGCAACTTTATTGTAAGTCTTGAAATAAAGGGCGATTCCTCCAGTTTTGTTCTTTTTCATTATTTATTTGATTATTATGCATCATTTGTCTTTTCCCTTGAATTTTAGAACAGCTTGATGGTTTCTTCAAAATAAACATAGAGAGCGATTCCTTTGTGTTCATAAATAAACTTGGAAGAATGAACATCTTAAACATATTAAGTCTGTTAATCCATGAACATGGTATTAATTTTCATTTACTTCAGTGCCTTTAAGTTCATGTAATAATGTTTTCTAGTTGTCAGTGTAGCAATTATATACCTTTTCTTTATATTTATTGTGAAGTTTTGCACATATTGTTTTAGATTTAATCCTAAATGTTTTACGTTTTCTGATACTACTCTAAATGTTATCTTTTTTCCCAATTGTTCTTTGTTATTACATCAAAATACAACTGCTTTTTGTATATGGATGTCATAGTATCATTTGAGTAGGGTATTCTACATATACAATTGTGTTGTCTGGAAACAGGCAGTTTTACTTCTTCCTTTCCCAACTTTATGTTTTTAATTTATTTTTTTCTTGTCTTTTTGTGCTGTATTGGCTTCCAGTGCAATGTTGAATAGAAATGGTAACAGTCTTGCCTTCTCTTAGGTGAAATGAGTTTCAACATTAAGTGTAATGTTAGGTTAAAGTTTCTATTAACATTTATTGGATTGAAAAGTTCCTTTCACTTCTAAGTTTCCTGAGAGTTTTTGTCTAAAGATTGCTTATTTTTTCTGCAATCTACTGAGATGTTCATATGTTTTTATCTTGTATTCTGTTAGTGTAGTGAATTATATTGATTGTTTTAAATGTTACAACAACCTTGTACTTCTGATAAAATGACACGTTAATTATATATCATCCTTTTTATACATGGCTAGATTTGATTTGCTAATATCTTGTTAAATGTTTTTAAGTATCTTCAAGAGGGACATTTCTAATTTTCTTTTCTTGTAATGCTATTGTTAGGTATGAATAAGGGTAATGCTAACTTCATGAAGTGTGTGATATATCCCCATACACTATATTTTCTGAAAGAGTGTACATTATTGATATTATGTCTTCTTTGAATATGTGATGAAATTCATTATTGAAGACATCTGGGCCTATAGTTTACATTGTGGGAAAGTTTTTTATTATTATTATTACAAGTTTAATTTCTATAATAGATGTAATATCACTTAGGATTTTTTATTTGTCTGGTTTTGGGTATAATTAGCTCTTTTTTTAATATAACATTTTTTCATTATACTTTAAGTTCTGGGATACATATGCAGAATGTGCAGTTTTGTTACATAGGTATACACATGCCATAGTGGTTTGCTGCATCCATCAACCCGTCATCTACATTAGGTATTTCTCCTAATGCTATCCCTCCCCTAGCCCTCCACCCCCAGACAGGCCCTGGTGTGTGATATGCCCCTCCCTGTGTCCATGTGTTCTCATTGTTCAACTCCCACTTATGAGTGAGAATATGTGGTGTTTGGTTTTTGTTCCTGTGTTAGTTTGCTGAGAAT